GTGTGTGTGTGTGTGTGTGTGTGTGTGTGTGTGTGTGTGTGTGTGTGAGAGATTTATTTTTCATTGTCAAATTTGAGTTTAGAGAAGCAGATGTTGGGTGTGTTTTGTCCTTTACTACATTGGCCAAAATGTATTCAACACTTCAAACATTACCAACCACATTATTCTGTTAGTCATGAATTGTTCTTGTTTTTTTACACACTTTAAAAAAAAAAAAGTATATTTAAACTGAAGCTCGGCATAAACTTCCCTCTGCTGTCTTTATAGATGTTGATCTGAAACGAATTATTACATATGGATGTCAAAACCATTTGCTCTTTTGTATTAAGTGCTGCCACATGAATGTTCTCCTCACATTGCCGCTTTAATTCTAATAATAATCCAAACTGTATTTGGTGCATGTGATTATGCACATTATTAAAGAATTACATTTGAAAGTCAGATTAGTGTACCCGAGTGTATACATTTTTGATTTAAGTTAACGACAGATTCTGATAACCAGTCACATAATGAAATGTATGTCAGAATAGAAAATGCTCTCTTCATCCCAATGAATCGGTCTAAGTAAAGTTACGTTTGAAGCTAAATGGTTTCAACAGAGAGTATTAAGATTATGTCTTTTAATAGGATCAGCAAAAGGGGATCATTAATGACTATTTGTTAAAAAGTGAAAAATGTACACTTTGGTGGTGATGTTGTAATCACTAAAACAAAAAACAACATTTATAGAGTTCTCTGGAGTTGATGCAATTGGCTGAGACACATTGGTGCACTATATTTACTCAAATACTCTGAGTACAGTTTTGAGGTATTACTCGGGTATTTCCATTTTATGCCACTTTTTACCACTTCAAAGGCAAATATTGTACTTTTTACCTCATGCATTTGATAGATTGAGTTACTAGTTACTTTGCAGATTTAGATGATCAATACAAAATAAAAACAACTAATAAATTGTGATATAGGTGAAACACAGCAGTACAAGGTAATCGAAATTAGCACCACCTTTACCAGCTGCAACATTAAAGTGATGAACACATGAATGTATCAATGGTTATAATCCAAAAGTATCTATCTATTCTGAAATGGGCCATTTTATATAAATAGTGCTTTTACTGCTGGTGCCTTTAAGTATATGTTTGATGCTTATTGTTTTGTGGGCTACTTTTACTTAAGTACGATTTTGAATGCTTGACTTTTACATGTGTACATGAGTATTTTTAAAATGTAGCGTTGCTAATTCAAGAAAAAAAAAATCTGAATTTTTCCACCACTAATAAATAGGCAAGATACTTTACTACTGTGAATGATTGTCTGATAAGAAATTAACTTGGGCATTATTTCAAAACTTTGTTCGTTAAAAAGCAAATAATTGTAATCTTTTATTTATTTTTTATTTTTTTGCTCACCTCTGTCCAGTTTACTGCACGTGCAAATACAACAGAGTTCGGTTTTAAGAAACCGTGAATTAACCCCGACGTTGGCACTGCGGTGGAAAACTCTGAACTTTATCTTGTTGCCTATTTTCACACTTTATAAAACGACTCAAACTAACTTTTTTACGCGGGACCAAATGCACAATAAAAAGAAAAGAAATGTAATGAAACACAATGAATAATCAAATGTGGAAGTTGATTTTGCTAGAACATCTTTTGTCCGAATATTTTTCAGCTTCAGTCAACACACTCTTGTAAAATTGCAAATATTACACTTTTATTGCAAAATTCATCATGATATAATAACTGTATTCACAGTTTAACAGTCTGTCATATGAAAGGTCACGTGGAAACAAACAAGTGTTTCGTTATTTAATAACAATTATAATAATAATAGTAGTAATAATAATAAGGCCATATAAATAGAAACGGAGTGTCGCTCCAGAGAAACTTATGTTTAAGTTCAACACGAGACGACGGAGACAACGTGAGTGACGTGGAGTTATAAAGTTGATGTAGAGTTAACGTACATTCGTTCAGATGACATTACACACGCATATTTTTCTTCCTATTAAAATGCCTTAAGCATCATAATAATAATAGTCTGATAATAATAACACGATAATACTAATAAAAAAGTGGCACATGCATGTCTTGGATAAGTTGATATGTTGACATTTGATTTGGGAAGATTTCTATTATAAGTAAAAAAAATAAAATAAAAGTGACAGGCCTACAGCCAAAACAGGGGAAAGCGTATGTCCGACTGTCCACACGCTGTCTGATTCCAAACAGAGAGAATCATCAGTCTGCATCAAACAGGCCAAAATATTTGCCAGTGTTGGAGAAGTAGATGCAAGGCGCAGCGGTTGCAGTCGGGTACACGACAGGGAAAGGCATGGGTAGCAAACATCCGCCCAGCAGGCTGCTGTCTTTGTAAAAAGTCTGTAATTGCACATTTTTCCCCGCTTCTGAGAGGTGCTCGGCGGCCAGCGGCCCCTCCATGTCTGTGGATATCTGTCTCTTCAGCTTGTTGCGGCGGTTCTGAAACCAGATCTTGACCTGCGTCTCGGTGAGCTGCAGAGAGACGGCGAGACACGCTCTCTCCGAGCTGCTCAGATACCTCTTCATGTCAAAAGTCGCCTCCAGCTGAAATATCTGTCTCTTTGAGAAGATGGTGCGGGTTTTCTTCTTGGCCGTGGCCTTCGAGTCCGCGCAGGGCTCCTGCTCGGATGCGTCCTCGGCTGTGTTCGCACTTTGCGCCCCGGGACAAGAGCCAGCGGTCAGCGGCGATGTGTTTTCCCCGCGGTCCGCGCGGTGGACTCTGGGCTTCCTTTGCGCTGTGAATGAAGCGACAAAACGTGCTTTAATGCGGTGGTAAAGACAAACGCACATACTTGTTTTTAATTGCGTGCAAACACACGCAAAGGAGCTGCATAATAATTGCAATAGTCTGATTTAATAATAGATTAACAAAAATAAACAACGACTTCTGGCCCACGATCTTCACAATTTCTGAAAATATTTTCAAGAAATACCATCAGTCTCCTGTACTTCCATCCATCTTTACGCACCATTCTGCCTGAAAATGCCTAAAATGTATTGATCCTAAACACTGAGAGACCTTTTTAGTCTCTCTGCTCGTTTACGCGTATGCCCTATAAATTCCCAGTTACCTGTCTCGTCTGATCCGCTGCCATGCCTGCTCCGGACGTCCCACGCCTCATCGTACCGCGCTTGAACGCCACCCTTACATCCACTGTCCCTCTGCTCCTTCGCCCCGTCCGAGTCCCCGCGGCCCCGCTGCTTCAGGTTGAGGATGTTGTCGATGGTGAACGTCAAAGAAGCGCTCCGACTCGGGGCGTCCTCTTTGCTCATATTCCCCGGCATTTCATCTGCTCTTCCTAACAGATTCCCGAAACACCGACGTCTCCGGACGCTCCGAGCACCATTGCTCCTTGGCTGCGACTAGCCGCGCGCAGAGGAGCGAGGTGCGACGCTCTTCAGCGACCCGGAAGACTGCGGTTTAGCGGCTTTTGATTGGGCAGGTTGTGGGCCAGATGAGGGCGGGATGCAGATTTAAACGTCTGGCTGCCATATTGTAGCTTTAAACACTTTTCTGTCATCGAGACTGCTGCCTGCTGGCTTCACGCTCCAGACTGAGCAGACTCGAGACGTTTGCAGAGCTCCTTTTGATTAAGAGTTAGAGTCGGTATCACTATCGTGGTTGCTTGATACCAAACTTTTTTTTTTTTCCACACTTTAGCGTGACAACTCTTTGGGGTCATGAGACCTAAAATATAGCTACATTGTTTCACTTCCTCAAGTGAACTTCTCTGATGCATAGTTTTGCTCATATATTTGCTACCATATAATGTTAAATGCTAAAAAAAAAAACACCAACCAATTTGTGCATACATTTTATTCACATGTGAACATATCGGTTTACAAAAGTCTGTATTAAAATCCTCTTAAATAAAAAAAAATAAAAAAACGGTGTCAAAGAATATTGCTACTAATGCACCCATGCTGACAGCTATCAACTGTCACAAACACCTTTTTCATTAATGATCGAGTTTCTACTATTTCCTATCAGTCTGAGGACACAGTGCATAATATTCCCAAGTTGTGTGTATGGCTTCAAATGAGGGTCAAAACGATTCGGAGCTGTGCTTGTACGGTATATCTCCTTTTGTCACATGTGACAAAAATCTGCATGAGACCTGGAATGCATGATTAAAAGCAGACAGAAGAAATTGAATATGGAAATTTGAGGTCTGATTTTGGCTGTTTAAGCCAAAATGTGTACTTATAACAGAGAGTCTGTAACTTTGGTTTCATGTTTTGAATCTAGATGTTCACAAACATCTGTTTTCTTGTTGTTGAGTGTTGATATCATTTGTGCACTTATTCAGATTTTTACATTCACAATTCTTTCCCCCCAAAATTAAGTTGTTTACAAGGACTGATATACAGTATGCCAGGTTCATTTCACAAGTCTTATTGACCCTTATTGGACCCCAAATGTGTGGGTCATCCATACAGTTTCTGTGAAAAACAATCACACAATAGAGCTATACGTGAAACCGGTGTGACCTGGTGTGAAATGTCCCCCGGATAGGACTGAGGATGGGATTGTGGAAAGCTTAAAAGTCCGCAAACATCCATCGCAGTTTCTACATCTTGCACAAAAATTTCCAAATCACTTGTTAAGTTTAAAATAAATTGGAAAACAACATTTGGGGGAGAGAGAGTCTTGTTTTAAGGGTCAAAGCAACCATTCAAAGAGCACGATGGATGATTTCTCCTAGAAAACTTAAACACAGGATTGTATTATCATCCTGACTTTACAGGATCTGAAAGTGAACTAGAATGAATATTTTTGCAGCATCTTTATTTGATTCACTTGTGTCAAAAGAGTAACACGTATAGCTTGGTCTCTTTAAAGTCACCTCCACCCTTAAAGTCACACCAGCCCAGTCATCCGTGGCGTTAGGAACGACACCGGGTGGGTGAAGTGGGAAGTCAATGGATAGTTGATGGCGTTGGAGAAGCCCACCATCGGTGGCGTCACTTGAGACAGGCCGGTCAGCGTCATTGGCGCTGTGACGTTCTCGCGATACAACACGGGAACTCTGACGACCCTCTGGGCTGGGTAAGGGACGCCGGCGCTGCTGGCCTCCATGTCGGCAGCGATCTGCCTCTTCCACTTATTCCTGCGGTTCTGAAACCAGATCTTCACCTGGGTCTCGGTGAGCTGCAGCGAGGCGGCCAGCCCGGCTCGCTCCGAGCTGCTCAGGTAGCGCTTCAGGTCGAAAGTGGACTCCAGCTGGAACACCTGACTCCGGCTAAACACGGTGCGGGTCTTCTTCTTGCGCGCCACTTTCATGTCAGCTGAGGGGAGGAGAGATTAAAGTAAATGGAACTGCTACAACTAGGCCTTTATTGTGATAAATGTTAGTTTACGGAAAGACAATTAAGTGATATAGTTTATTGATAAATTATCTGTTTTTGGCCAATCCAGGGAATCGGATACATTAGATGAAAATTCAAGGTATTTACGAACTAATATCGCCCATGATAACTCACTGAACCAGGAACTCTTACACCCCTGATATAAAACATATATGTGTACATTTGCTGCTGATACCCTCTGTCAAGAAAAACAATCAAACTAAAAACTTTGTGAAACGCCAACAACTAAACATAACATTGTGGATGTGACAAACAACTATTGTGCCAGAGGAAGCGTTTCAGGTGGACAGCGCATGCGTGGTGCCATCTTGTGCAGATAGCGGAGCACGGGGCGGACTATTTTTCTAAGGCGTAGGAATGTAGCCTGTGTACTTTGGCCTCACCTGTATCACAGCTGTAGGAGGAGCGCGCGTCGTCGTCCTCTCTGTCGTCCGTCAGACTATCGTCCCCCTTCTCCTCCGGCTCATCGGACTCCGCCCGTCCCGTTAGAGTTGGGGAATCCCGGTCGCTCGTTGTCACAGTTTGTTCATATTTGTACGGTGGACCTATACGAGGAAGGTGGGGAAAATACAAAAAAATCAATAAATCACTTATTAGGCTTCATTTCGCTCATGTCCAATAGCAAAACATTATCGGACATCTTTCCCGTTTTCCACCACACGTGCGCGCACCCATGCTGCCTGTCCTCTCCAAGAGTATAAACGAGCGTCAAATCTCCACTGCTGGTGCTTTTGCAGCCTCAGAACGACATTGTTGTGTATTCCAAACACAGGCTGATAACTGGAGAGTTTGGGTGTTTTACGCGGAGGAAGGGGAAGTGGAACGTGCTCAGCCCATAGTGTCATGTCCTCTCGTGGCCTGCTGAAGAACCAGAGATGTTTTTATTTTTGTGAGATGGATAACTGCTGGGCTCTGTAGCCTCATTCTGGTCCAGACTAGTATTGCTATGCAACGCGTTTACTGGTTTTGGGGGGTATATGGTAAAGATAATTGTTGAAACCATAGTTTGTAATCCTGACTCAACCCTGTAAAAGCGGATTATCCCGGATAAGGATGTTTATTGTCATCGTAAAAACATACAACGAAATCAAGTTCGCGACTCGCTACAGCAGCAATATGTGAATAAACACACGGAATGAGAGCAACACTTTTCACAACATTTGTATTCCCGTACTCTGTATTTACAGATTAGGACAGATCGCATGCTGACTGTAAGGCGCACTCACTTCTCGAGGTGCCGCGCACTGTGTTTGGTGATGTCCCGCTCCAGTTTAGCACTTCGCTGCCGTCCAGACGTTTTGACTCCTGTCCCGGGCAGATCACCGGTCTGTGGACGGTAACTTTGGAGCTCGCGCTCTCCACGCGCTCCTCGGACGAAGCCCCTCTGTGTGCAGTCCGCAGCAGATTCTCAATGTAGAAAGACGAACCTCTCGACGGAGGACCCTTCGGTCTCGACTCTTTATCGTCGAGCATGTTCACTTCGTGTGTCGTTTCCCAAGTAGCTTTCACCTTTTAAAAAAAATAAATATATATCCCAGATTTGGATTTTTACGAAATCATCACCAGGAATGTGTCTTGTTTCCAGCCAGGAGTGTCCTCTGCTCCGCGTGAAACCATCCCGGAGCAGTCCACAGAGCAGCGAGAGCTCTGCTGTGTGAGATCCAGGCAGAAATGTCGTCTAGAAGAGGCGAAGAATTACTCCAGCAAAAAGAAAACACACGAGACTGTCTCGTTTTTCGGAGACTCCTCGTGTAAACGGTGTGGTAGTCTGCCTTCAGGGATCGTGAGGATCCAGTATTTAGGTCAATTAGGGAGCAAAGCAAGGATACAGTGTTGTCCTCGGGGCTGGAGATGGAGAAAGCTTCATGGAGAATGGCACAGTACCGCCTATTGGTTACATCGAACCATGCACACTTTGGATTTGCGATGCAATTAATTATTATTATTATTATATTTTTGTTAATTTTTATTATTATCTGTGATTTTTGAACTCAAGAAAAGATAAAAAAAAAAATATCCTGTCACAGCTGATGCAAAATGGTTCTTATTCAAAATCGGTTATAAGCCAAAGTTGTTTTATTTTGAAGTTAGTTACTTAGAGGTCTATAAATCTGCTGTAGGTGATCATCATCATAATTTCTGCATCTTGCTGCCTCCTTTTAAATATTAATTCCATTATTTAAAGATCTCCTTACAACATGCTTTGAGACATGTAAATACTAATTTCCACAAAAAGTTATCTAGGCCTATATCCTTTTTCTCTCATTGCAGAATCGATCAATATGCAAATATGAATTACTGGACACATAATGTCTCCCATTTCACTCAGAAGTCCATTCTCTGTGTTTGTGCACGGGAGGCTTCAATTTCCACATCATAGTTGTATCTTTAAGTTTCATACTGGACCATGATTAACTTGTGATGTCACAACCTTTGCTTGCAAACTCTGCCCAGTGAAGGTAAAATGTCAAACAAGAAGCTCAACACATTTTCCAGTGGTCTTTAACTCCTGTTAAAAGAAACCCCAAAAAACATACAAATATATTTTATGTTTCTGTGCGAGTTGTTTGTTTGCAAACATGTATTTCCAAATTAACCACAACATACCCGCAGGCATCACCAGTGGGGACAAGATATTCTTCTCTGCCAGTGAAGTGTCGCCCCACCGCAGGCCTCAAACTATACTGTCTCACCTTCACGCTGATTGACAGGCTGGGACGGCATTTCGCCATGGTGAAGAAATCTTAATAAAGCCTAATATTAACTCTCAAGTGTATCTTATCCATGGAGGCTACATCTTTTTTTCCCTTTTCTTGGAAAGAGCCTCTGCCACCTTAAATGTCCGTAGATGGAGTGACAGTGTGTTCCAGCTTAACATGAGCTAATTAATGCTGAAGGTGGAGAATGTTTAGTCAGCTTGGAAGCTGTGAACGGTGGAGTAAAACACCACTGCCTTTGGAGTTGTAATAGGATTTAAACACTATGAAAAGCTTACTTTCATCTGTAAGTAGCCTTGAACAAATGCTCAGAACATTCCAGGCTGCAGGTTTTCAGATTGCATGTTGATCGACCCTTTATTGAATGAAAGTATTTTCTACTTTTTTTACAAAGGAAACATCACACAACACTGCAAGAAACGTGAGTTAAAGAATCATAAAAAGAGGAAACTGAACGGCGTGGTCGTCCGCGTGGTAAATCCCTGCACAGCTGACCAGCCATCGGTGAAGAGAGGCAGAGAACAACAAACCATTTGTTTTCTCAGAGGAGTTAGTGGCACAATCGTTCTCCATTGTGCCACTAACTTGACTTTATTTAAGCCTGTGTTGCAGTAATAGCCTATCAACCTAATACTCCGGATTCTGTAACACCTCACAGATATTTTTTACACAAATTCCCAATTTACAAGAGAGTTTCAGACGAGTAAAAGTGGTTAAACTCATTACACAACATGCTTTGTTTATTTTTCACTCTGTAACTATGTAGCCTGAAGTATAAATGCAGTGTGTGGTGGTATGTAGAGCTGTTTGTAATGAATAAGGAGGGTTATGAGGGGAGTATTTATACTGTGGAAATGTTTCAAATCATTCCCCCCCCCCCAAAAAAAAAATGCAGCCCCGCCCATGTCAAAGCAGTGATAAAAAGCACAGAGACTAAATACAATAACCAAAACCGTTAAAGGAATCATCACTGGCATTGAGAAGCTGATGGAGAACTTTTAAAAGTAGCAGTGTCCATTTGCCAGCCCTTGTCACAGGTTGTACATGTCTGTGATCAGCCGATCAGAATGTTTCCCATTTTAATCATTTCTAGAGGCTTCAAGACGTACAACTATGCAATATGTAAAAAGAAAAGAACAAAAAGCCTGAGGAAAAAAATGGACTGCTGTGAACACGTAGCCGAAATACAACTTTTCTTCTTCCTTATCTTCTTATAGTGCTATTTTTGCATTTTTTCTCTCTTGTGCTGAAGTGTTTTTTGCTTTGTCTTTAAGTGCAGAGTAATTTGACTGCGGTCTTCTAGCTTTGTGTCATTACATGCTTATTGGTCAGCGGTTCATAAAGTCATATAGAGACATGGCAGAGACAGGAACTTTATCGAAAGGCCACAATTGCTTCAAATGACCCCACATCCTATTAATCTGGAACTGTTTTGCGGGCTATAAAGAACTGTTAAAGAGCTCCATATTACAGATTCTTGCATGCAGTTGCGGTGTCCGGGTATTTAAGATGCAGAATGATTTTTGCAGAACTTTCTGCTTTTTTGTTCCCCCCAACCGATCTTTCTCCAACAATAATTCACAAAAACCCATGTTTTTGTGTCACTTTGAAGCTATAGCTAGAAACAATCTCACGCCACGATTACCAAACACTTCCTTTCATGTCCGGCCTCATCGTGAAGCATTGCACAGAGACGCGTGTTTAAGATTCCATGGTGGCACTGCAGCTTCACAAGGTATGATGCAATGAAGGGTTTAACCTCAATATTTTATTGTGTATTTAATAAAATTCAATAAGATAATTCTATAGTATATGTTAAATCCTTTTGTATGCAGAGTAACTTAAGTATATGTGTATGTTTAAAGTAGCCTACCTCAAACTGCACTTAAGTACTTTTTTCTGTTACTAATTGGCTATTTTTTACTCATTAAACAAGATTAAATTGTTGATTTAACATCAGCTCTAATAAAATAGTCCGTGTAGACGCCACAGTTCCCCCGAAAGAAGTAGTGCAGGACAGCAAATCTCTGCATTTCTTGCGGATTACTTTGATTTCCTGACATCTCATCCGAAACAAAAGCATCTAATACGCATTGGGTCCTAATCCAATATCATTAACGGTGTATATGTTTGTCTTCTTGCAGGATGACAATCCCTGTATTAATAGTCTGCTGGGGGAATCCTCCACATCATTACTGGCACTATAATGGGCTACTGTGGCGACGCAAGCTGTTGAGGTTAAAGCCATGGCCTACAATGCAATAGTGTATACGAGGTCAGCAAGGTCCAGACATCTTAGGTTGGCCTAAACAGAAGCGGTCAACCAGAAGGCCCCTTTACGCCACATCAAGCTATTGACCGATCCGTCTGATTTTCAGCCCTCCTGCAACTCCTGCTCACCGCCTGTGTTGTTGTTTTACTTCACCAGTGGTCCCTTTTTTATTTTTGCCTGCTCAAAATGCTGAACCTGTTCCCATCAGATGAGATTTTAAACACGCTGTTTCCCTGGTGCTTTGTGTCAAATAGGTCAGCGTTGGACCCTGCGTGAAAACAGACCTCCAAGCTCCCACTGTCACTTACCAGAAACGCTGCTTAATCTGCGTTTTATACCTGCTCAGAAAGTCCAAAAAGAAAACTCCAGATTACAAGTATCGAAACTGACACTCCTGCTTAATCCCTATTAGCCCTCACCTTACTGCACCCGGAGTCCAATTCATCTGGTCGAACCAAAAAGGCATTCTGGGAGCAGTTTGGTTTGTTGTGAGCCTCTGTGGTCTCGCACAAAAGCCTGGCAACAAAAATAATAACCTTGTTGTTTTTAGTTGTTTTTTTTGGTTAGAATTTTATCTCTCAAGCCTCGAAAGAAAACACATTAGAGTCTTTGCTGGAATAAACTATTAATGCCTGTTTGTTTAACCCTTGCACAGCAAATTAACCCCTGTTAGAGCCACCTTGTCAGCTCAGCGGCTGAAAGCCACCTCTCCATCCTTTCTTTGTGACTGAAAGAGTAGAGCAAAACATTTTCTCTTTAAAAAGCTAAAAAAAAAAAAAATATATATATATATACATACATACATACATACATACATACATACAACAACAACATTGGAACAATTGGGGGGGAAAAAACTGTTTTGCATCATTCTAATGAACTTATTTAGTGTCTTGTTTCCTTTAGGATTCAACAATCACCGGCTCTTTCCCATGCACATTAAAGTGATCAAGGTTAATCACGTGAGATAAGTGCAGCCGCCGGCAGGTACAATATACCTACACAGGAAACAGTTTGGCTGTGGGTGAGGGGTGGGAACGAAGGAGCACTTCAGATGGATTACAGGCCCACTACAAATACCAGGACTTATGGGACATCAGATCAATGAGAAAACATCAGCTCTCCTTTAATACCGCTAATGTCTTTAGCTGTGCCGGGAACTGGGGTCAACTGTTGACGTATAGCACTTGATTCTTGGGATCATTTTAGCTAAATAAAATTTGAAGGAAAGCTAGTTGACGTTTGTCAAACTTTAAAAGGCTTTTAAAAACTTCTACAAGCAGATAGATGCCTAATAATAGAGCATTTTCTCCCTCTATGTATGGCGTCCTGAGCACACTCTATCTGACCCCCGAGGTTCAGGGTTTTACATATAAACTGAAGTAAATCTGCAGAAAAGTTGGACATCCAGCTCAAATAGGAATCGCGTGAGAAAGAAGTACGCTCAAGGTAGCTGGAGAGTGCAGTGCCCCCGAGGTCAAAGC